GTTAATGCCAATGTTGTAGCTAAATTTGCCAAAGCATCAGCTATCCGATTTTCCTTCCTTGGAATGTGCTCTAGTATGACGCTATCAAACCGTTCCAACAAATGAGAGGCATAACGATGGTACGGCACTAGATCATCTTTCTTAACCTCATATTCTTTAAGAAGTTGGTTAATCACCAATTTTGAATTTCCATATATTTCGAGATTTGTGATCTACATCATAGACGAAATGAGGTAAATCTGGTGGCAGCATCTCCTCTGAAACAACGTCAGGGTTCTTGACATGTTGAGTTTTCACGTTCGCCGGCTTTGCAGGATTGGTTTTCACCAAGTCTTGTTGATGTTTGGATGACTCGATTGCCTGGGACTTGTTACGTGTCACAGGCCCGCCAAGGTACTTCCATCACTTGATTTGGCCTTCGTGCCACTTTTCATGGTGGCTTTGGCGTCAACCTTTGCAGTAACGATGTTCTTTTGGGCTTTCTTGTCTATATGAGTCTTAGGATGAGCCGTAAAATCTGATAGAGAAGAAACTTGATGATAGGAGAAAAAGATGAGAGGCAAAGGATGTCCCACCGGGCGTGCACAAATTTATACACACAAATTTTGTAAGTCTGCAATAGAAACAAAATATGGAGCAAATACTATAATATTTGATTAATTTAGATAAATGGGGTACAATCCTCTATAATAATTTTCCAAAGAATAAAATAAGGTCCTTTGATTCGATCTCCTGTTTGGTTGGTTGGATCCAAGGGTTGCACAAGCTTGATCTTGAATCACCATGGAATTTGGATGAAGAACGGCACGTCTTTGGATGTGCTTGTTGTTGATCACCGTGGAATTTGATGAAGTATGGCACGATTTGATGTGCTTGATGTTCTTCGCTTTTGGGTTTGAATTCTGAATTTGTGTCTCTAACTTCTGAGTCTCTGGATTTCTCAGTCTCTAGTTTCTAGACTTCTGAATTTTGAATTTGTGTGCCCTTCCTTCTTCCTCCAGGCCTCTATTTATAGGCTTCTTGGATTAATAAGATGATGACACATGTCATCTTTTGATAAGGATAAAATCATAACTAGGCCGGGCCGGTTATATTATAATAATTATCCTTAAAAATAATTTTTCGAAATATATTTTATTAGGAATAATTATCTTTCCATTTAATCATCTGGGCCGGGTTAATTAAATAATTTAAGTGGACCAAACTTGGGCCAATTAAATAACTTAATTAAACATTAGGCTCATATTTAATGGGTCCATTTATCAAAACCAAAGCCCATTAAAATTTTAGTGTCTACAATAACTCACAAATAACATATTGACATGCGAGTAAAAAAATAGAATAAAGCTTAATAAGTTTGCATCAATTATGATGCAAGAGCATATTAGGCATTTTACATTTTTTCTTTGTTAATACTCCTTCCATCCCAAAATAAGTGTCCCTTTTTGAGAATCTAATTTTTTTAGAAAATGATTTTTATTATTTTTTGTTGTATTAGTAATGAATGAATTACCAGATTTACCCTTAGTGGGTCACTAATGATTTACTTTTCATAGATTCAATAAAATAAAGTTAAATTGGTAAGATTACAAAAAATAATACTTTAACTTTTAAAATGAAATACTTAATTGGGAGGGATAAAAATAAAATTGCGGACACTTATTATAAGACGAGACTTTATAACATATAAAGGCTACGTTTGGTGTGCAAGAATGGAATAGAATGCAACTTGGAATGGAATGAAAATGAGAATGGAATGGAATGAGTATTTTCATTCTATTGTTTGGTGTGACACGGTAAATTGTTATAGAATGGAATGATTATTACCATTCTATTATTTGGTTGACTATCATTAAATTTAGAATGGAATGATTTTTCTCAAAAATACCCTTTTCATTGACTTACATTACTTTTTAATAAAATCAATATGATTAATATTATGACGATGAATTATAGAATGTTATAAGATGTGCAATACTGCCATTGAAAAAAATAAAGAAAAACCTTAAAATAAGAGCTGTTGTGGTCAAGTGAAGGGCGTTAAGTAGTTTTTCCACTATTCAGTTTCCTTGGACTGGAATCTTCATCCATGGTTACACCTTAGCCTTTTACTGTAAACATTGTCCACTTTCTTTCCATCAAAAAGTCAAACAAGTCCACTTTGGGCTCTAGATGATTGTTAATTTTTATTTTATGTTATCATTGCTCCATATATAAGTGTTCGAAAAGAGAAAGATGGAGAAATCACACAAACGTTTCAACAAAAAGATATAAAAAAAGAAAAGAAAAAAAGTGATATACTCAGAAGATAAAGAGATTAATACCCAATTTGGTTGAAGGTCCTGTGAAAACCTTTACTACGTCTAATAAAGAAGTTTGAGAAACGTGAAAAATGCAATGCGAACGATTTTTTTGTCTATGCAAAAGATTTTTGCCTTATTGGAATGTGAGAAGGGCTTATTGGGAATATTACAAAAAATATTTAATCTTACTATGAAATGGAATAGCCATTCTATAGGTTTAGTAATGAAATAGATTTTCATTCCCTAAAATGGATTTTCATTCTATTCCATTTCTGCACACCAAACAAATAAATAGTTGGAATGGGTATTCCATTTTATTCTATTCCTGCACACCAAACGTAACATAAGAGTATCTCCAATGCCCTTTCAAAGTCAAAATATAACACGTGAATAAAAATAATAAACTCAAAGGGGCTCTCAAAAGACCTTTTCATATTTTGAGATTGTCAAAAGTATTGCTATATTTATCAATTCTCAAGATTTTTTGAGAGGTCTCTTTTTTCTTATACGGTGTCGTTTCTCAAAATATAGCAGGTAGATGAAAATAATACACTTCAAATAGCATTTTGGATGAAATGCACTATTGGAGCAGAATTGTTAAAATATAGCATTTTGACACCGTAACTTTTCTCAAAATATAACTTTGGTATGAAAATATAGCATTTTGCGTTGATGGTGTGTCTACGGTCGCTACACCATAAGCATAAGAGTGTGCATTAAGGCGAGGGCCAAATTTTACATTTATAAAAGCCACTACTACCTTCACTAAAAATATAGCTAGGGCAAGTAGGGATCGTCCCAAGGGATTGGAGTCGAATTTGGTTGTGGAATCACTATTAGGGTTAGTAGGTCGAGTGATCAAACAAATAGTTGGTTGGTTAATTAAACTAGAGAGCAATGAAAATTAAGTAAAACAATAGAATCCAATAAAGAATAAGTAAGAGAGAGAGAGATCTTGGGGTTTAGAGGTCACCACCAAACAATACTTTTCTACACCCTTAACAAGTGACTAATGAGGGAAATGTGTGTTGCGATATTAATGTGTGTGTGTGTTTGGTTGATTCAATTAGTAAGGATAACCAATTAAGTAAATATTGTCTAAGCAACATGTGAAAAACACAATATATCTAACAATTAAGTATATATTGTCTAAATAGTATGTGAAAAACACAATATATCTAGCAAGTCATTAATCATTTCATTAAGCTCACAAGCCAAATACACCACAAGGTTAGAGACATATGGTACTTGCATTCAAAAGAATGGAACATCAAACAACAAGCATGGATTGTCCTCCTATCTAACAACTATACTACCACTACACTACAATTAAGCTAATGATATGAAATTAAACTAATTAAACTAAGGGAGAGGCACAATCCATCAAGAAATGAGTATGAACCATTAAGAAAATTACAAGAGCATTCCATTAAGCACTATGTTTTGACAATCTCTAGATCTATAGCATCAATACACATAGACATGCATCAATAACACAAGAAATAGAGACAAACACATGAACATCTATTCTAGCATACATAGACATATGGATAGAATGAAATGATCAATTGGAAGTATTAAACCACATAAATCATTGAATGAACAAGATCTATATATGTAAAAGTGCTAAAACATGTATTACAACACTAATCCCTCAATAATACACAAAATCAAGATGTAGAAAACATGCTTGGGGCTAACTCTAGCCCCAAGAGGATGTCTAACCACTCATGGTAATGCTTATCCAACCCTCAAGGGCAAACTTCATGGAAGAAATCTACTCCTTGGTTGTTTAAGAGCTCCCAAGTTTGTGTATCTAGCCTTCTCCTCATTTCTTCCTCCCTAAGAATAGCCTCTCTTGTATTCCTATGATGATAGATGGAAACCCCTCAAAAAATGTATCATTTTCTATATATAGGTAGGTCAAGTGACACACAAAATGAGCCGGGGTTGTGCACAAAATATTCCCCAATGATTGGATGAAGGACAACTTTAGTGAGCTGGAATTTTAACTTTTTCTGCACTAAGAGAAGTTCGATCGATCGAATCTTGGATTTGGATCGATCGAAATTGGCTGAGATCTACCGAACTGAAGTTGGATCGATCCTCAATGGCGGTGCCTTTTTAGATAAAAACAAATCTAAGATATTTCAAAGATATTTTTGGGAAATGGACAAAAGTGGTTAGTGGGGTGGTACAACTGGATAAGATCAATTATTTGGATAAAGACAAAATAGTTCTATCGATCGAACTTTTGAGATCTCTGAAAATGTCATCATGGCTCAGTTCCATCTTGAAGTGCTGAGATCAATCATGTTGGATCGATCGAACTTTTATCTGAAGATGTTGAATTCCACCTTTTGCTTCCACTTAGCTCCTTTTTTTGATTCATCCCAGAATTGCTTCTTTTCTGCTCTTATTTGGCTGAGTTAGCTTATTTTCGGGATAAGTGTCTGAAAATAGAAATAATACAAAATCAATCTAAAACACTAAAGTAAGATAGATAAAGGTACTAGAATACCTAAACTTAAGAGATTTAAATACGTACTTTTCAGCACTCATTATGTATTAAAAATGTTATAAAATTGTATTTATAAAAATGGGTAAATTAAAATTTTTGGTCTAACATTTAATATTTAAAAACACGCAAGTAACTTGTATCCGAATAAATAAAGACGCCGCTCCCCTTTATTATATTCTCTTTGAGATGGAGGGAGCATCATCACACTTTATAGTGTTTTCAAAATAAATTACTAGTAAAGGGTGAATTTGAGCGCTAAAACCACTAGGTGCGAACAGTGACACCACATTTCAAATTTGAATGCTAAATTCTCTTTGATCTCTTCAACTGCATCGCATCGCACCTGAATCGCTTCCATATTTCCATTTTGGTTTTGGAATTACTAGTATGGGCTGTGTTTCGTCCAATCTGCTTAACCACGACGACGATTTCAGCCAAATCGGTGGCTCTGGATTAGGTCACCACATTGTCTCCCTCACCTCCACCACTTACGGCCTCTTAACCCTAGACCCTCCACCTTGTAATAGTAATTCCGACACCACCCGAGTCCCTCCAACCCGCTTCACCCTCGGCTCGGTCTTCCCGAGCCCACTCTCTGACGACGACGACGACGATTCCAGCTCACAACCACAACCACAACCACAGCCATCCGAGGTCATCAACTCTTGGGAACTCATGGCCGGCCTTGACACCACCACCGCCACCAGCTTCCGCTTCTCTCCACCATCCCAACCTTCCAAACCACTTCCGATCAAACACAACAACAACAAAGAAAATTCAAACCCTAACATGATGCCCCTCCGTACCACTACTTCCGATGATAAATCAAGCGTTTTTTTAAGGCCATTAAACAACATCACCATCCTTCCGAGACCATCGTCTGTACTCAGGTCCTCGCTAGATGCCTTTGAAAACCTATGCCCTCCCAACGGAGAAAACAGGGTTGTGATCTATACGACAACGTTGAGAGGGATACGGAAGACGTTCGAGGACTGCAATGCTGTGAGAACGACCATCGAAGGTCTTGGTGTGCTTGCGTGCGAGAGAGACATTTCCATGGATAGAGGATTTAAGGAGGAGCTTAGGGAGCTGATGAAGGGTAAAGAAAGCACCCAATTGGTCCCTCCCAGAGTGTTTGTGAAGGGAAGGTATATGGGTGGAGCTGAAGAGGTTATGAGGATTGTTGAACAGGGCTGTTTTGGAGAGTTGCTTCAAGGGTTGCCTAGATTGAGAGCTGGTTTTGTGTGCGAGGGTTGTGGGGGTTTGAAGTTCTTGCCCTGTTTTGCCTGTAGCGGAAGCTGCAAGATGATGATGATGTTGGCGGTGAAGGAAGAGATGGGCCAACAGAAAGAAAAGAGGAAGACTGTTGTGGTAAGGTGCCCTGACTGTAATGAAAATGGGTTGGTGCTCTGCCCCATCTGTAGCTGATCCACTCAATGTCAATCAACTATGTTCATCTCATCTTCTTTTGGTTGGTATTCTATGTCCTGTGCTTTTTTCATATTAAGATAAGATACCTCAATTTCCCAGCTCATTATGAAATATTAATTTCCCTTTTGATCTATCTATAAAGTTCTCTCTGTTAGGTAATGTAGTGATTGCCCTTTGTTTTTTATTTTTATTTTTAATTTTCTTCAATTATTTATTTATTTATTTTTTCTCTGGTTCTATTATATACCATATTGAAGCTGAGAGGGAAAAAAGAAAAAGAAAAAGAGAAAGAAAAGAAGAAATAGAATTAGAGAAAGGAAGACATTATGGAACACAATGGATAAATTATATCTGCTGGATTGGGCTTCATCTTAGTATTTGCAAATGTTACATGACAATGAGAACTTCAGTTACTAGGTTTTGTAGATGATGACTTGCTATTTAAGGTGTGTAAATTATGTTCTATCTACTTAACTGTAGGTCAGTTGTGCATATCATTTGTGTAAAAGTTGAGGAGAAGATGCTTAGATTGATTACTCAAGTAGAGAGCGAGCCCTTTTGATGTTAGTTTTAGATTCTGAAAAGGTGGAGCCTGAACTGACCCCACTTCTACAGTTAATAATCTTGTCTAAATCATGCAAATCTTAGGTTCAGCTTTCCAAGGGAGAGTGGCTTGAGTTACTTCAGTGCTGTAGTGCCTGGTACTCAACCAATGTGCATTTTCTATTCCTTTTCTCAGTGTGAAATGTGCTGTTTGTGAATACTACATTATGTGAAGAGAACTACTGGGCCTCCTTGGTAAACACCGAATTGGATCGTGTGATGATTATGGTAGTGGTCTGTTTTTATAGCCCTCTACTCTCAGTTTAGTAGCTTCTTTTAGAAGGATAAGAAATTATGGAAAATATGGTTACTATATAGAAGTTGATTACAAATCAACAATTTTTTTTTTGGAAGTTAAAGCAAACACACACCCATACCCACAATACGCCCCTAGTGGGGCTCAAACTCTGGATCTCCCCTTTGGGGAGGAGAGATCATACCATGCGGGCTAGAGGCCCGGTGCTGAAATCAACAACAATTCAATGCAAGGAAGCACAACTGTTGGAGTAACAACTGAAAGCTTTATAGCAATGAGTAAAATTTTTTAATGGGACACTCCTACAGATTATTTGGCCATCCAAAATATCCAATTGAGTCAATTGACTATAGTCTGTTTCATGCGAATAAAACATATTGTTGTGCAGACCACTTCATTTGAGAAACAGTTTCACAATAAAAAGTGATGCTGCATCTAAATGGTATTTCGAATCCAATGCACACTATGTGCTGATATATTCATGATAAGGCTAAACTTAGTAACCCAGTGACCCAACCTTTGTAGAACTGCTATGCACAAGGACAGTGCAATAGGTGACAACTGAGAAAGTAGTGAATGTTGCGTGTTTAGAGAAACAACAATAGCTTTCTGATCGATTGAGAAAACATTGTACCTTAATTGATTTAGGTTCTGATCTTATTTACATAAATTTCCTAATACTTGTAGAGATCTAGTACAAATGAAATATTATTTCTTCAAGAAAAATAATTGTTTCATTTACAGAGTTGAGGATGTTAAAACAACTTCAAATCCAAAAGTAATCCATGTGAGTATTTTTACTTTTGAAATCCCTACACTCTATTTCTAGCCCATAGTATGTTCGGTTGTTAACGTCTTCATAACTCTTTGAAAATTCCTCGTACGCACCCACTCAAATGTTGCCTAGAGGCAACTAAAGTCTGCCAGATGAAACAACCTCTAACAAGAATTGATCCCTCAATCTCTCTGATAGGAGCATAGTTTTAGGTCATTAGGGCTTTGAATTGGCAAATTTCATCACAAAAGCTAGAATTTGTATTTTTTTTTTTTAGTTTATTTGAATATTAGTTTAATTTAGTTAAAGTTTAACATGCCTTATGATCCATGGACTTTGAAGATGAAAATTAAATCATGAAAGGTAAAAAGTAAATCAAACTCCAGAATACATATTTCACCAGTTGGGGGTTTTATTTTATTCATTCATATTAGAAGTCATGGTAAGGTTGCATTGTAGAATATATATAACAACAACAACCAAGCCTTTTTCCCAACTACTTGGGGTTGGCTACATGAATCCTTTGTTTTCATTCCGCACTATTTAAGGCTATAGTTTAAGTCAATCCGCATGCTTTCATATCCTTCCTTACTAACTCTACCCACATTATCTTTGATCTTCTTCTTCCCCTAGTATTACCCTCAATGTGGACTATGTCACTTTTCCTGCACACTTGAAGGTCTTCTTTTCATGTATCCAAACCATCTTAAGTTTTAACATATTTTCTCTCATTTCCCCCCCAATTTGTGCTACTCCAACCATTTTCCGAATGTGATTATTTTTAATTCTATCCTTTCTAGCCTTATTGCACATCTATCTCAACATTCGCATTTCTATCACACTCACTTTATGCATATGTTGTTTCCTAACTATCCAACAATTTTTGCCATAAAGTATGTGTGATGTTGTGGTCCGAATTTGGTTTCGGGTCGAGTTGCTACCTGTTTTTTTGACCGGTGACCCGATGATTGAGCTTTGTGTGGTCCAAGGCCACCAAAATTATGACCCCTTCTTTGCTTACGGTTGTGGACCTTGTTTAGTACTCTCTTGTAGCCTTATATATAAGGGCATTTAGGGTTTGGATTAGTAATAAGAGAGATATTGAAAATTGCAGAAAAGAGAGTGAGAGCAAGAGCTAGGGTTTGGGGGCTGAAACGTAATCTCTTATTTTTTGTGTAGTAAAAACTTTCGTTAGATCTTCACAGTGGAAGTAGGCACAATTTGTGTCGAACCACACTAAATCTTTATGTTCTTTGTATGTGGCGTGTTTACTTTTCTGTGTTGATTTGTGATTTGTTCTTGGCTTGTTGCGTGTGTCCTAACAGTATATAGCTAGTCTAATAGTTGCTCGATAGAACTTCCCTTTCAATTGTAAGGGGATACGCCTATCACACTATATGCTAAACACAACTCCTCCAATTAACCCATTCCGCCTTGATTCTATGATTAACGTCATCTCCAATTTCTTTCATTATGAATAATTGAGCCTAAATAACGAAAATGTTCACTTTTTTTGTACCTCTTGTCACTTGATTCTCAATTCTCTCTACATCCTCATTTGTATTTTTAGATTTACTAAAGTTATACTCCATATATGATTATATTCAGTTTTATTTCTACTTATCTTAAACCTTTTTAGTTCTAAAGCTTCTCTCCAAATCTCCAATTTGGCATTAGCTCATTCTTTAGTCTCATCGACTAAAACAATATAATTGGCGAATAACACACACCATGGAATCTCAGATGTGTCTTGTCAGCTCATCCACAACCAAGGCAAAAAAGGCATGGGCTTAACGCTGAACCTTGATGTAAGCCTACAGTAATTGGGAATACACTGGTTTTCCCTATAGGCGTTCTCAATATAGTCACACAACTAACATCTAAGAAGCACGGACGCGGATACGACATGACATGACACGGACACGGCGACACGGCAAATCCTAAAAAATTAGGACTCAGATATGGCGGGGACACAACAAATAATATATGTGTGTGCATATATATATATATATATATATATATATGTGATGCAGTACTTTAAAAACATACACAAGTCATAACTAATGAACTATAAGAGAACAATGTCACTAAATCATAAGCCAAATAAAAAACAAGACATTAGTATGATAACTTGTATCATGTAATCATCATTGCAACTTTACTCCAATTGAACATTGTGGTATTCAGGGCCTGTTTAACATTTGTGATTGTTTAACCATAGTTACAACAGTTAGTAAAGAAAGCAATAAGCACAACAGTTAGCAAAAGAAGAACAGCAACTCATCAAAGAAAGAATGAAATAAATTCATGTGTTTACAAGTCGGTAAGTCACAGACTCACAGTAGTTGAAATTAAATCAAGGAATTAATTCATATTTCATCACAAGTCACATGTAACAACTGAAATTATATCAAGAATGAAGAAGAGGAAAATAAATTCATCAAAAAAATATGAAAATGAAAAAAAAAAAAAAAAGAGACACGTGTCGGACCCCCAAAATAGGACACGTTTGTCGGACACACTGCAATGGCGTGTCTGAATTTTTTTTATTTAAAAAAAAAAAAAATTTCAGACATAGATTTTGGCGTGTCCAACGTGTGTTGGACACGGATTCTTCGCCATTTTAGGCGTGTCCGTGCTTCCTAGACTAACATACATGTCCTTTATTGTGTCAATGTATCCTTTTTTGATTCCTTTCTTTTCTAAGACCCTCCATATTAGATCTTTAGGTACCATATCATAGGCTTTCAAAAGCGGTGTATTCAATCGACCCCCATTGCTTAAGTTTGATCAATCGAATTTGAGGTGGATCAATTGAACATTGTGGTATTCAGGGCCTGTTTAGCAACCGTTATTTATTTATTTTTTTTCCGTGTTTTATATTGCGGGTGATGTACTGTAGCGAAGCAAAACACCGAAACGCATTTGGTAACTTTTGTTGTGATTTAAATAGCACCACATTTATTGTCGAAAAGAGGCCCAAATCAGAAACACCAAATTGATGTTTTCTAATGTTTTCGCACTGTAGCAAAAACACTTTAGTGGTGAATGGTACCCACAAAGAAAAAAAATCTAGGTTACCTTTTTGAACTAGCCATTTTGTTTCTCAATCTTGCGACACTTTGTTACCAAACATGTTTTCATGTTTTTGCTTTCAAAAATCTTGCAACAAATTTTTCGTTACCAAATATGCTTCCGATCACTATTGAACACACTCCACAATAGAAATGACGTTTTTGTTTTGGATGAAAGTAGAATCGCAAAACGGAAATGGTAGCCAAATAGGCATTTAGTTTTTTATTTTTATTTTGGTTCCAACTCAAAAACCCTAATTATTTTGTCCCAAACAAATGTGCACATAGAGATACAAAGAGGTATATTGCATTATATGACCATTTATAATTTTAAGTGCTTAATCAATATATTTGAAGAGCAACACTAGTTTAACACCAAAAATCACATCCAAATAAAAGGAAAAAAAGATGGCCGACTGTCTGTAGAGTAGATCTAAATATCTAATCATAGTAAGAGACAGTAATGGGTTCGTAGATTGACAACAACAAAGTTTGGGGTAGGACAATTGGTGTAAGTCTGTTTCCGAGGTTACTTAGTTATATTTATGTGATTTAGAATCTATTACCTAGGATTTGAGTACTTCTTTTATATTATTATTATTAAAGCTTGATTTATCTGGTCTAGGGTCCAATGATTTTTCCACTGTGGAGTTTTCAAGTAAATCTTGATGTCTTGTATGATTGTTTTAATTTTAATTTCTACTCTACTCATTGCTATAGATTTATCAAAATTTAGTTTCAGCTGTTATTAGTTGGGGTTCCTGTAATATCTGTTCATATCTTTCTAGGTTTAGCAGGATCTTAGCATAGTTTGACATATTAGAGCCTCACATTACGTTCCTCCCTTCACATAGCTAATATACGACAAAGATAACACTCTAGTTGTGATGCTTATAATAGTTGTTGTCCTATTCCAACAATTATGCACTCATACAATTTGTGAAATCTTGTTCACTTTGATAGGCATTTTGAGTTCTTCTCATCACCAGAAAAATGAATCTTTCCTTTATCCTTCCTTCAAATGTGTTCCTCTCTCTTTGTATTGATCATGTCCTTTTAGTTTCATTTGTAGCATTGTAGGTTTTAGTTATGCTAAAGTCTAAAGATTTTATTCAAGGACAGTCCTGTAACAATTTTTTGTTGCTTGGTTCTGAAGCCAAGCAACCGACTGGGGCGTTATGGTATGTTCTAGGGCATTGTTGTAAATTGTGATTAGGCATATATACTATGCTATGTTCATTAAATGACAAGTATAGGTATCATTTCACTTTCTAAGACTGAAGCAACTTTTTAGTGAATTGCCTTCACAAAAACGTACGTTACATTTATTTGATACATCTGTCAAGGGTGATGTGTGTCTAAGGGTTGGATTTGTAAAATCCTCTAACTCAAAGACAGACATCGTATATATTCATATTTAATATTTTCCTTTTATATTATAGGGTAAAATGATGTCTTTATGTAACATAGATTATTCAATCTGGTCACCTCACTTGTTTTGAAACAATTATATTACATGATGAACATGATAACAGTGATTTTTGTGTAGTTAAACTGGAATGACTGAACATACTTCACTACTTGCTAGGTGCATGTCCAAGTCCAACCAAACTTGTTGCACTTCTATACTCGTACCCAAGTGTTATGTTCCTGACTCCGGTACTTCATGCATTTTGAAGAGCCCATGCAGCATAGCACAAACTCACATTGTATGACATTTCATATAATACAAAAACACAGGAAACAAAGAGAAATATATAGTGTTTGAGTGTTTTATGAAAAATAAAGTCAGAACATTTCTAACTGCTACATATATCTTGAAGGTGTTTAAAAGCCTTAGTTGTTTTTTAAAAGTACTCAAAATTTTGTAAGAAATTTGAGGAATTTTCTGATCTTCTGGGTTTCATGTTGTGATGGCTTAAACTCAAAAACATGAATGAATCATAATTGTAAGAAAAATTTTAGGTGGTTTTTTAAATATGGAATGAATAATAACGATATCTTAAGCTCAAATTTTGAACATTTGTTGCCAGTGCAACCTGACATGCAGGATCCTGATTTTAATCCTTTTTCCATTGGTGCCTTGCAAACAAAGGGAATGTGTTGGAAAAATGATGTGGATGCCATGCTTACATTTTATTCTTGTCTGAGGAGTTTCTTGTGTTGAAGGCACTGTTTTGGCAGTCCAAGCTTTACCTGAGATGCACTGTCTAGAATAGTGAATTTTTTTATTTTTTATTTTTTATTTATATATACTTTAAAGTTGGGTATATTTCTAACATGTGATAGCAAGGATTTGAGGCCACTTGTGCTTGGATTTGAAGAAGTAAAACTTTGCCCAAAGAAGTATCTGTTGTTTGGGTGAACTGTTTTCTACTCTATGGTATTTAGAGAGTTGCTTCATCAAACAGAATATAGGAATCATCTCTGATATATATGCTGGACTCTTTCTTCATCCTTGATTGAAGTTCAGCTTTCAATTTGTTGAGTATTAGGTTGGAGACTATAAATGCTCTAAGCTCAAAATATGAATAGAAAGGGTCTATTTGATTTTATCAGTATCCATTGGAATATTTGATTCCTTCACCATGTTTTTTCAGATGAGAATTTAGCTTTCTCTATGGCCTATGCCCCTTTGATCTCTTATTGATCTGCAACTTTTCATAATTTTTGTATGGTGCCTCCATTTCTTTGTGCTAGCCCCACCCCTGGTGAGAACAAATTGTAGAGAGCATGCCATATACCGTGTAGGCTTAAATGTAGTGAACAAGCTTATGCCAGGGATACGAAAGTGTAGTGTGTTCAGTTAGGAGACTTAGAGACATCTTTTCCGTTATAGATGGGAATATGTAGATATGTACATAGTTTATATACACTTGTAACAGAATATTATTGGGATATCTACTCCTTTTTCTTTTTTTTTTCCTGATTAACAGCGGGTGGCACATGAAGGAAGTGTGAGTTCAAGAATTTTGTAATAATGGAAACAGAGATTTTTGTTAGTTCAAGAATTGGGGTGAGTAGTTGCTGTCATGATAATAGAGTGTCATTTTCTATTTTTCAAAAGGCATAGATATAGGTAGAATAGATATGGCTAATAGTCCGTCAAAACATGATTAACTGCTTAAAATTTTTTGTTTATATGTAGGAATTGGTTACTCAGTGTCCAAAGTAATAGTCAACAACATTTGGGCCTACAAGTTGGAGTGAGATGATAACCTCTCCGGTGCAAGAGTAGCCAATCAATTCCTTCTATGTAGGGTCCATCGGTAAAGCCCTCATTTGTGGTTCGTCTAACCATTATCATTTCATGTTGTAACTGGGTCTTGTGTCTTGAGGCTTAAGGATGTGGTTCATGCAATCACTTCACCAACGGATTGATTACGACCTCTGTTTATATGTGTGTGTATTAAATGATGTTTGTCTAATAATACAGGAAATCTTAATCTGAGTTTTATGAAAATGCATTTGATTCTTTTAAAATTACAAAACTGTCATTCCACTTGCATAAAGTTTGACAATGCTTACCAAAATTGTGTTTCGTTAGGGCATTTTGATGGCCGACAGAGAAACATGACAAATACACAATATTTTGTATAATTAGATTTGAGAAATATCTTAATTCTATAGAATGTGAAAGTCAAGATTAGATTGTTTTGGTGTTTTTTTATTTTTTATTTTTTTTACTTAAATCCCATTCGGGCTAATGTTGCTTTTCTGCCAGCATGTTGGTAGTAAAATAACTATAGCGTAGAATCTACAAAAATAGTATTATGGTCATAAATTTATATCATTAGATGCCATTTTTCCTAGTTTATCCTCCAATGTTTAATTCCTTAGTGATTTCCTTAAGCAATAGGCTCTATATATGCATAATGCGTGGTACTCGAATGGAGAAATGAGGGTGGTGAGGTTCAATCCCCATTGTTTCTCTTAACAGCAGAATGATGCATCCGCTTTCTCCTGGAGTAAGGGGGATGATTCCTACTTAAGTAGTTCCGATTTTGCCTGCTTGGTGTGAAAAACTTGCTATTGTAGTTTTGTTTTCATTATCTTGGAATATGCATTCATATAACCTTACTTTCCATCATTTTATGGTCAAATGACTGGAAGGATTAAATTTCATTAATATTTAGTGTGGAAGATTCATCACAGAAACAGAACATCGCATATTTATAATGCTAGGATCCCATCAACAGATCTGTCAATGGAGCGGATCCTGATCCGATTAGTCGGATATGGATTGAACAAAAAATCCGATAACCCGGTTACGATCCGAATATGATAATCGGTTAGCTTAACAAATCGGATATGGATTATGCTGATCCAATCCGATAAAAATCCGATCCGATCCGATTGAAATTATATATATTTAATTATTTATCAATAATTTTACACACATATATATCAATACTCTTATTAGAATTATATTAGAGGTAACCCAAAAATTCAAAATAATAATAATGTTATATATAAATATTGTGGTGTTCTTATCCACATGTTAACAAATCTCTTACTACACATACTAATAAAATCGTACTCTTTATAATTATATATATTAGTAAATATTAATTTAATCCGATTTCGAATCTGATTCGATCCGAGTCCGAGCTAAATAGGATATGGATTGGGACATTCAGTCCGAGAACCCGTTAGTGATCCGAATCCGATAATCCGTTTGCTTAACAAATAGGATATGGATTTGATCGATCCGATCCGAATCCGATCCATTGACAGGTCTACCCATCAAGTGAAGCCGACAGTATGAATATGCCTTCTCGAAACGAACCAGAAAACCCCAACTCTTACAACTAGTTCAGTTACATGGGATATTGGAAACATTAGGGCATTGTGTTTGATTGGCTTAAACTTATTTTTCTAAAAGAAAGTGAATAATAGTAATGGAACACTTAACAATGAAAAGGATGATTAATAACCTAGCCTGTTTAACTTGTATGTATTTTGATTTGGTAGTTTCTAGATTATTTAGTTGGCAGGTAGTAGTAGGCCTATTGGTGATTGATTTTATTTTCAGCATAAGAAATGATGGCATTTGATAAAAGGAAAACCATCCTTATCTTTTTTCTGGTTCAATGTCTTCATCCTTCCTAATACCATTACACCTTTACCTACCTAAGAAAGTCAGCGAGGAAGATTATGTAACCGGCATCTCTGATTATGATAAAAGTAGAGTGAGTAGGACCCACACTGATTTTGAATCAGTGGCGTACTTTGTAAAACTGTGTAATGAAAAAATTATGCCTGATTTAGCCCCCACAATCATAAACAAATCTTTTGTTTATTGCTCTTCATTTGAGGAATCTACATGGTTATCAGCGCTGCAGTAGATGAATAATGACACACTGAACTGAAATAGACAGCACTGATCAGATAAAGTTATGAATAATTTAGTGTTTAACCTTTTAAATTCTAGTTGAGTCATGATTACAATTCCCTTTTGCCCTGTAAAAAACAAAGAAATACAATTCCCTTACCATGATTGTTGCCAATACTTCATTGTGTGGTGTTGGAAATATTGTATATTTAAGAATGATATATATATATATATATATATGACAATAATGATGAGATGTATTATCAAAGACATCGTTATTGAGTAAACATAATAACGGTTGACAATATATGCCGCCTCATCTCAGATATCAATCACGTATTATTTGAGTTGAGGGATGCTGCATGTATAATGGAATCTGATAGTTTTGTTACTTCTACTGTATGTCATACCGACAAATGGCATAGTGGGTCAGATGACGACGATGATGTTGTTCTTGTTCGTGTGAAGCTCCAAAGATCAATCTCGCTGCTATAGACTTGAGAAGATAGATTTGGTCTACTCGAACTTGAACTTAGGTGGGAATTATGGGATGAATGTAGATGATGATGATGATGATCATCCATGGAAAAGCAGAATTCATGATGTTGGTTGGGTTCATGGTAGCAGCTGCAGCAAGACAATTCCAATTGCTTGGATGGGTCTATAACAGCAGCAGCCTGACCATTGAGTTGGGAAGCCACAAGTCTGTCGAGTGCAACCCAGTCACTGAGCCTATCTCTTTGGTCATCATCTGTGTAACCACTGCCTCGTTGATCACTTTCAGTTCTCACAATCTCATCCATTGACATTGATATTGATTGGGCTCCGCAAGCAGAACTAAAACTAGAGTCTTGATGATGATCAAACCTGGTTATGGTAGGAGTACTGCTCTGATCTAACCTTGGCAGATGCATAAATCCATCGTCCACTACTAGTGTCGGTGTCTTCATCATTGGGTTCAGAAACTGCATATCCATGTCACTGTTGTTGATAATGCTAGTTTCATTCTCTTGCTTGCAACTACTCGACGACGACGTACTTCCCATGTACTCAAGTATTTGATCTAGTACACCATCTTTATTACTTAAATTGCGTATTTGGGACCTCAAATCTGTAGAGGTTGATGAGCTTTGAGGACTCTCTAGCACCTTGTGATAATTTTTCTTTCTGAAAACACGGCAAACCACCCACCCCTCTTCTCCCAACGACTGATCTGCTGCACCTACTACAAAGTTGGAAGTCTGTATATGATTCACACTTATTAATTATCAGTATTATGAGACTAGTGTATATAAAAGAAACAAATAACTTCACCGTATATATAAAGATGGCTTATATATACATACACACAGACGTACACTGGAGTCGATATTAGTGGTATTGTCTTCCAGCAGCCTATATTCGTGCATGATCCAATCTGATTTGTGTCCATGTGGGGCTCGTCCTTTGTAGAACACTAGAGTCTTTCTCATTCCAATTCTTCTACAACTGCTGTAGATCACCTTATCCCGGCCTGTGGCCTTCCAGAATCCGGCCACCGTCGCACGATTCGTTCTCGTCCCTGTCGGGTATTTCTTGTCTTTGTGACTGAAGAAGTACCAATCGTTTTGTGGGGTGGATCCTATTTTGCATTTCTCTAAGTACATACAAAAAAAAAAAACCCAAAAGAAAACACAACTAAGCGATATATATATATATATATATATATATCATTGTTCAATGATAAGTTCAACATATATATGTATATACAACAAGTTTATATATAGAGTTAATTAATTTACCTTGAATGTCCCATGGTTCAAGCTTATTAAGATCAATGTCGCCAATGACATCAAGATCAATCTTCTCGTAGGCCACTTTCTTCCTCAAGTAATAGTGCAGAAGCTCTTCTTCCGTGGGATGGAATCGGAAACCTGGAGGGACCTGAGATTGACCATTTACCGATAGATTCATGTTTATATATATATAAAGATCCTGCTAGTTACTATCTAGTTCCATGCATAGTGTGTGTGTGTGTGTATATATATATATATGTTATGAATAGGTAGAAACTAACAATTAATGATAACAGAAGAATTGAATAGGAAATAGAGAGGAAGTAGTGAAGACTAGCAAATGAAGTTAAATGAGAGATGGTGTGCGTTTAAAGGGTAAAGCGTAGATTGTAATTTATATTGAGATTTAAGGGGGTTCCAAAGGGCATGAAAAGTTTTGGTACGATAGTCATTGGCTTTCTTTTGGAGTGGGGTCCAAGTTTGGAGAAGAGCCAAGGCAACCACCTAATTAACAGAGCGAGAGAGAGAAATGGTAGCGTTGTGGGTCCCACAATAAGGTAGTATATAGTAGGACCCACCCACCAAAGACGTTAGAGGAAAACCCCCCACTGTGTGTGAGCGGGGCACGCCCCAGTCTAAGCCATGACCCTCGACCTTAAAATCTCTTGGAAAAGCACCTATGAAACCACCACCATCTCCAAAGATCTCTCTCTTAATTAACTTTGTGCAACAAACCACAACGACAAGTGGTGGTAATACAGAGAGACAAAGATATGATGGGGTCGGAGGCATTGCGCTTTCATGGGAAGACACATAATTTGTGCATCCAATCTCCTAAATAATGTCATTTTTCTGATCATCATTGCAGTCACCAACTTTAGAGCACCACATCATGACACAGTACCAAAACCTATTTTTCATATGATTTTTCTGAGCTAAATAAAGAATGACCACCAAAAAAAAAATACTAGTTAGTACAAACGAATTGGTGCACTATGATTGGTTGCCTACTACAAACGAATTGTCTATACCCAACCAAATGGACTGCATGCTTTATGCAACTGCAAATATTACCATGAGTCTATGTACAACATCAGATGGCAACACTACTTAGCATGCTGTAATCTCCAGGAAATAAATACATAAAAGATAAAAATAAAAATAGGATCCGCCAAACTAAAAACTAAATTTTATTTTCTCAAATTTAAATTTTTAACAAAACTCTTAACCTATCAACACTTCTCTACACGACGGCAAGGTGCTATTAAGAATATCAACAGATGCATCTCACATGGGATGCATTCCACCCATGGGATGCATTCAAATGGGACAAGGACCAAGCGTGTGTGGGTCCCATATTCACCTAAATCTAGCGCTTCAAAGCCTTAGCTCAAGAAAATAGGTTAGTTTTGTTGGCTTCAATATCATTTTCATTTTATATAACAACAAAAATACTCGTATCCATAACGACCTAAATCGATTGCATCTAATAAATTTTACCAATCTTACTATATAAAAATCTTGAAAAATACTTGTACAATGGCTCTCCCCTCTACCGTCCTTCTTTCCCCTTCACCTCATCCCTTCCTACCTTTCACCATGATTCCTGTTAGCATTCATTCCATGGCTAACTCACCACCTTTCACAACTCTGTGTGGCCCTAACTTTTTACCCTGTTCCAGTGTTCTACTTGTAAACTTTAATTATTCGGTCAAATAATTAATCACAAATAAACATGAATCCCAAATCTTAAGACTTCATTATTCTCACATACCTATAATGCATAAATAAATATAGTTAGATATAAATACCTCGATCTATGATAGTAAACCTTGTTGAGATCAAGTTCAATGTCGAGATCTTTTATTAACGAACTAAGTCGTAACTCTGAACAATAGGCAAAACGTGGAAACTGATTTATCTCTCTTGGCATTTTGCACATATAAAAATTATATCGTGTTGTTTCATTAGCATACATAATTATTGGGATATATGCACTTTTATAGGCAGAGAGAGAACCAATTTTCCTTTTAGTAACTTTAATTCTACTTTCCATCAAAATAAAGAATAAATAGAAAAACACTTCTCCAATAATTAATTATCAAAAAGGTAATTTATAAGTTGACCAAATAATATAATATTAATCTGATATCTATTTTATTTAACCACTAAATAATAGAAGTAAATTACGTGTCCAAATCATGTGGGCCACAAATATAAGAAAATATCTTATACTCTCCCACTCGGCCCATATAATAACTTCTGTAATGGTTTAGTAAAATAGTCATTAGTGTGCACTATAAATCAGATTGACTTATTTAAGTTGGTTATCATAAATACCATGGTAAATAAACTATCAATGTGAGTTATGGCGGTTATATGTCCCTAAATGACGCAGTCTCTTCTATATAGCACAACACTAGTAACCTATTCAACATAGTTTATAAATGAGAAGTATCAATAATGTCTTTTCCAAGACTATTCCTATTATCATTTATTATAACAATACGTACATGTACATTAATTAATAGGAAATATCAGAAACACATTTAATCAGCCCAAAATGTCAAATATATATAAGCATTATTAAACAATTCATAATTAAAAAATAATCATCATTGACTACATTCAAGATCCATTCTTTCAACATATTCCATAAATGTCTTGGTGATAGTCCATTCGTTAATGGATTGCAATCATAAGTTGTGTACTTATATGTTTAATAGACATTTGTTGTTTCTAAACATCTTCTTTAATAATAAAGTATTTTAACTTTAAAATACCTATCATTTTTCATACAAGAAGATCAACAATTGCAGCATAAATTTTCAACAATCTAAAAATGGTACCCATAACTCCAAGTCCTGAAATAAATTCCGTAACCAGAAATTGTAGCCTCAAAGCATGCTACAAATTAAAAATTAATAAATTACTTTACACGTTTTCATAATATTGTTCCTCCAGCCAAAAGGAACAAATAACTAATTGTGAATTAATAATTATCAACATATTCATAAAAATGTCTTCTTTAGTTTGAGCATATAATCTTTTATCCCCTACCAACTTGTATATACATCAAACTTCACAATATATGCATAAGGAATATTTTTCGTTTCTTTAGCTAACTCATTTTTTTGGATTGCATTAGGCTGAATTTATCTCCTTCTGTGTATGGAGCACTACTGGTTGAACAATGTTCCATACCAAATCTTTCTAGAACTATTTCAATATATGCTTTATGAGATAATCCTAAAAATTCACTTGTTCTATTCCTATCACGTAAGATACCTCATCCATATATTTCATTTCAAAGTTCTTAGAGATAACTTCTAGTTTCATATAATAAACTTATAAGATCACTACTATTAAACAAAATATCATTATTATATATAGAATCATAAATATAAACTTACTCCCACTAACTTTATAGTTTATACACTGATCAACAGTGTTTTACTTAAAACCAAAAGAAATAATGGTATAATTGAATTTAATATACCATTGTCAGGAAGCTTGTTTAAATTAATATATTGACATCTTAAGTTTACAGACTATGTATTCTTTACTCTCTAATGTAAAGCCTTCATATTATTCCATATAGACTTCCTCTTTTAAAACTCTCATTCATAAAAGTTATATTCACATCCATTTGATGTAACTCTAAATCATAATAAGCTACTAATGTCATTATATTTTAAAAGAATCCTTCTTAGATACTGGAGAGAAGGTTTCTTTATAATCTCTTCATTCATGGCGCTAATCCATTTAGTAAAATCATTACTGTTAATGGCTTGTGAATATATAACCGGATCCGTATATATCTCACTATATATCAAAATCAGATTCTTGCAGATATATCACATAGTCATCCGGAATAGCAGATCTCATTTCTCTTTAAGATCGTCTTAATGTTATTCCTTATGATTCTTCTACAATTTATTCATTAGTGACAATCTCATTATGGAGATGTTGATCATTCAATTATTCTTCGTTGTTATACGGTTCAACAACTGAAGGAACAATTATTTCCTTAGAAGTTATAGGTAAAGAAATTTATACCCTAACTTCTTGAATGATCACATTCTTATTTTTATCACTCCCACTGACTTCACCATTCTCAATGAATCTGATATTTCCGGTTTTAACAATTCTCGTACTATATTTAGAATAGTAAAACTTGTATCCTTTAGATTATGGGTAACAAGAAATTACTTAACATATTTCTAACCACATCCATAAGAGTACGATTATACCTTTCAGCTATACGCTTCTGCTGTGGCATGTATAGCAAAGTGTATTGAGCACAAATTTCATACATTTCAAATAGTTCAGTAAACGGTTAGAGTATTAACCCATTTCATCATACTTCCATAATATTCACCACCTCTATATGACCTTATGATTTTCACTTTTTGAACGACTCGGTCATTTACCTCCCTTTCCTTTTTTCTGAAATTTTACGAATGAATTTTTTTTAATTTTTCTTTCTGAACTCTGTTTCTTATCGCTTAGTGTCGTCTCGAGTGCTTGAAAATGATTTCTGAGACTCTTTTCAGTGGATTGACAACTTCCTTTGAGGACCGAGTCATTTCTGCATTTTCACTTTTCGGACACTATGCGCTATTTTGTCCTTTTCCCTATTCTATCTTATCTCCATTTGTCACTTGTTTGGCAAAACCTCACTTTTCATGCTTGGAGTTAGTTTTTGACTTCAAATACCTTCATCTTCAGTAGTTTCCTCGAAATACGTATCTTTACTTTTGCAAGAAAGTACTCTAGTTGCTCCCGGTGTCCACAAGGGCATAGATGCACAATTCTTCAGAATATTTTTCATTCTTGGGGTGTTTTTTTTTTTCAGTTTCAGAGTTTTTGGACCCGGTTGCCACCGAACTTGTTCAAGGCATAACTTTCTGCTCGAGTCTCGGTTTACAATGCCGTTTCTTCCGTTGTTCATATTTTCTCATTTTGAATCTTTTTTGTTCACGGAGTTTTCCTATTTGAGCATGTTTGCTCAAAATCCACTTTTCTGGACCCGGCGGGGCTTTGGGGGCACTTTTTGAGACTTACTATAAATAGAAAGTCTTAAAGTGAAAAAATCAATTTTCACTCATCTTCTCCACCTCTTGGCCGGCAGCCATGGGAGCTCCTTGGCTACCACCCTTTCTCCTTCTCCTCCACTTGATTTCCTTGGTAGAAATCCTTCGGCCTTTACATTTATTGTTCCCCTCGACGTGTTCTACCATTCCCCCTTATTAGAATTCATTTCTGACCATTTCTTGAGTTTGGGTTTGAAGTCAAGTTGTGATTTTCATGGGGCTTCCTTCGGATTCATGTAGGTCGTGTTGTCCCCGACAA